GGGGAGGTGCAGTTGTTTAGTGCGAACCGAGCGTAGGTGTTCTGCAAAGCGGTCGCCAAGACTCCGCTTGGTTTCCCCGATGTAGAGGAGGCCACAACGGGAACAGCGGATGCTGTATACCTCATTAGCAGATGTGCATCCAAGCGGAGGCTTGGGGACCGCTTTGCAGAACACCTACGCTCAGTTCGCACAAAACAACTGCACCTGCCAGTCGCGAACCACTTCAGCTCCCCCTCCCATTCCTCAGACGACATGTCCATCCTGGGCCTCCTGCAGTGCCACAACGATGCTACCCGATGGTTGCAGGAACAGCAACTCCTATTCCGCTTGGGAACCCTGCAGTCCAATGGTATAAATGCGGACTTCACAAGCTTCAAAATCTCCCCTCCCTCTACCGCATCCCAAAACCAGTCCAGCTCGTCCCCGCCTCCCTAACCTGTCCTTCCTCCCACCTCAAGCCGCACCCCCATCTCCTACCTACTAACCTCATCCCGCCCCCTTGACCTGTCCGTCCTCCCTGGACTGATCTATCTCCTCCCTACCTCCCCACCTACACTCACCTTTACTGGCTCCATCCCCGCCTCTTTGACCTGCCTGTCTCCTCTCCACCTATCTTCTCCTCTGTCTGTCTTCTATCCGCCTCCCCCTCTCTCCCTATTTATTTTCAGAACCCCCTTCCCCTCCCCCATTTCTGAAGAAGGGTCTAGGCCCGAAACGTCAGCCTTCCTGCTCCTCTGATGCTGCTTGGCCTCTACACCTTGTTATCTCAGATTCTCCAGCATCTGCAGTTCCTACTATCTCTGAAACCTTGGCTTTTAAACCTTGGCATTTTTGGCAGTTCCCGCCAGTATTGATGTGGATAATGTCGTGCCCATTTCTCTACCCTTTTGTCTCCTTAGTCTTCGGTTCATCCAGATACTGGAGATGTGTTACCAACAATTTTCCGTGCTTCAGGTGAATTTTGTTCAACATTTGTGGTCTTCCTTTCTTGTATTTCTTTGTTTCGGGATCGTAAGTGATTTCTTGTGATGTGCTCACAGGAAATCTCAAACCCAGTTATGATGTATGCTGCTTACCATTTTAAAAGTTAAAAGTTCCAGTTACTGTAAATCACACCCATAAGGCCAGTTGCAGCCTAACTACTTGAAATTCTGCTTTAGATTGGTAACTCCATATAAATCTCTGCCTGCTAAGTTCAAAAGAAGCCAGTACAAAATGACTGCGTTGGTATGCAAATTCGCATGTGATATGTGTGATTATGTATAAATATTTTGAGATGTATTAGTGGGGGGAAAAGAACTGTATATTTCTGGGAGATGTCAATGGGCTGATCAGTTGGGTAGAAATGGAATTCAAGCCAGAGAAGTGTGGGGTGAAGCAAACAAGGTAAGGCAGGCACAATAAGTGGTTGAATGATAGAAGGTATAAACGAGTAGAGACACTTTGGAGTACCTGTCCACAAGCCTTTGAAGGTAGCAAGACAAGTAGATAGAATGGTTGAGAATGGAAATTAGATATGTAACTTTTTTTAGCAGATTTAGAGGACAATAAGACATGGGTGCAGAAGTAGGCCATTCAGTCCACTGAGTCTCTGCTGTGCCATTCAATGAGATCATGGCTGATCTTATAATCATTGAACACTTCCTTTTCCTTGGAATCCTTGATTCCCTTTAATGATTGATAATCTGTCTGTCTCAACCTTGAATATATTTAATGACCCAGTGTCCATAACCCTCTGCTGTAAAGAATTCTGCAGATTCGCTACTTCTGAGAGATAGAATTTCTCCGAGTATAGGAACATGCAGGTAATATGAACACTGCATAGAATGCAAGAAATCGAAACAGGAGTGAACCATATGCCCCATCAAACCTTCTCTGCCATTCAATACAATCGTGGCTGATCTTGGGCTTCAACTTCACTTTCTACTCGCTCCCCTGAGAAACCAAAAATCAGTCTATCCAAACCCTAAATATATTCACTGATTGAGACTCCACAACACACACTCTGGGGCAGAGAATTTGAAATATCTGCAATACTTTTGACTCCAGAAATTTCTTCTCATCTCAGTCTAAAATAATCTGCTCTTATCATATTGAGACTGCTTTTGTGTTTTAGATTCTCCAACCAGCAGAAGCAATCCCCCACAATTGATTCTATCAAGCTGCATCAGAAACTTGTCCATTTTGATGAGGTGGCCTCTTATTCTTTTCAACCCCAAACATTAAAGACCCAAACTGCTCAGCTTTTCATTATAGGACAACCCTATCATCCCAAGGACACAGCGTTTTGTTTTCTGCTTGGGGACCCTGCAGCTTTCAGGACTCAATATCAAGTTTAATCATTTTAGAGCCTGAACACCACCTTCCATGTCCTTTACCCACCCCCACACCCCAGTCTTGTCATCACATGGGCTGCTTTCATCACAGCTAACCCATTGTACCCACTAATGTCCCCTATTAGCAGCTTTTCTTCCTCTGCGGCTCGCCATTATTCATTCCTTCGTCTGCCTTGCTGTTCTCTTGCTTGCTTTCGCGCTCTCTGGATCCCAGTTCCACCTATCCTTTAGCCTTTTACTGTCCCAGCCTGTGTCTTCAACACACATCCCACCTCTTCCTGGCTACAATCAGTTCTGAAGAATGATCACCGGACCTGAAACATTGATTCTGTTTTTTCTCCGCAACTGCCAGGCTGCTGAGTTTCTCCAGCGGTTTCTGTTTTTGTACTAATTTACTGAACCTTTGCTGTACTGTCTCCAGTGCATTTCTCTCCTCTTAAATATCAAAACTGAAACCATACACAGCAATCCAGATGATAATTTCGACAAAGCCCTATAGATTTGTAGTAAGATTTCTTTATTCTTGTAATAAAGGCCAAAATGCCATTTGTCTTTCTAATTGCATGCTGAACTTGGTATCTAACTTGTTGTGTACCTTGCATGAGCACATTTAAGTGTCTCTGAATGTGACACCTGGAAGTTTCACATTTTTTTAAAAAAGAAATATTTTCTATTCTCATAACCAAAGTGAGTAACTTCACACTTTTCCACATTATACTTCACCTGTCTTTTGTTCCCTATTTATTTAGCCTGTCCATATTTCTCTGCAGTCTTGTTGTGTCCTTTCCATCTAGTTTAGCATCATCAGCAAACTTGGCTAAAATTATGTTGAGTGATATATCTACATAATTGGTGTGGATTGTGAATAGCTGATGCCCCAGCACTGTCCCTAATGGCACTTCAGTGTACGCTGCTTGCCAATTTGAAAATGTCCCCATTATACTCACTATCTGTTAACAAATCCTCTAACCGTGCTATTTGTTAACAAATTATGGGTACCTTATGTATCAGCCAGACTGCAGTTAGAGTATCGCATACAGTTCTGGTCACCACGATACAGGAAGGATATAATGGCTTTGGAAGATACAGAGAATGGCAAATTTTAGCTATGAAGAAGTAGTGGGTAGGTAGGAGTTGTTTTCTTTGAAACAGAGAAGTCAGTGGGGAGATTTCATTGAAGTGTAAAAGAAAATTAGGGGCCTAGTTCGAGGAAGGACCTGTTTCCATTAGCAGAGAAGTTGATAAATTCGGGTTAGTTTGATAGAAAGATAAGAGATATGTAAAGTAATTTAGTTTCATTCAGAAGGAAATGGGATTTAGAACCCACTGTCCAAAAGAACAATAGAGGCACTTCGTAGATACTGTAGATGTGCGTTTCAGATGCCAAAACTAGACTATCAACAGACAGATTGTCTGCGGAATTAGGTTGTAGTGGCACAGATAAGGTAGTCTAATGGCCTCGTCTGCGCCATAAATGTTTCTTTGTTTCTAATCAACCGTTTTTTTTTTACTCTTTCCAGCATTTACACCTCTTGCTGTCCCATTGGTAAGAACTAAAACTCAAAACGTGAATATTTAGTTGACTGGTTCAATTTCAAAATAGTTTAAAATTTAGGTTAGATTAATTGAATCATAGGGAGAGATGATATTTATGAGTACAAGACCCAAGTTCTCAAATTCTTTGCTGCTTGGCAGCAAACAAAGCCTTTTTATGTTGTAGTACCTTCTAAAGTTCGAAGTTTTTAACATATAAACAACTTGAATGGAAAAAGAACTTGAAGTTGACAGATGATTGTTCATGAAATGTTTTCTTGACTATGGATATCAACTTAATCCACCATATGCGTAATAACCTTTAATAAAACGTACCTATTATATGATTTAATTACAGTAATTTGCTTTTAATCAGGTTGTGGCTATGCTTCTGCCTCACAGAGGGATGAAGCCAGCTTTATTTTGGCAGGTAAAGACTGGACCTAATTTGTTTCCCACTGTTCTGATATATGAATGAGCATGAATAGTGTGATATTTCTGTGAGAAGCTAGCAATTGGGACAACTGTGTGTGTTAATCTTGTGTGTGCGTGTCATAGGTGAAAGTAACCTGACATTATATGTCAAACACATAAATTCATCAGTCATTTTAATTATAAAGTTTTAAAAGTGAATGTAAGAAGAATTACAATAAAAGGCAAAATGAAAGGCAAAACTTTGAGTGACCTTTGGATCAACCATCTTTACATCAAACACTGCACAATTTGACACATCAGAGAAGAAACAAATTGTACACCAGGAGAACCCTATTTATTCAAGACAACTTAGTTCTAAAGAACCAGTGATTTGAGAAATGAAAGGCTTGCATTTATAATCATAGAATCCCTACAGTGCAGAAGCAGGCCATTCAGCCCATCAAGTCCACACCAACCCTCCACTGATAATCCACCCAACCTGCACGCTATGGACAATTTAGCTTGGCTAATCCACCTAACCTACACGTACTTGAACTGTGGGAGGAAACCCACGTAGAAATGAGGAGAAGGTGACAGTCTGTGTGGAGTTTGCACAAAGACTGGAATCGAACCCAGGTCCCTGGTGCTATGAGGCAGCAGTGCTAACCACTGAGCCACCGTGCTGTTGCTAGAGTTTTCTCTGCCACAAGACAACTCAAGATGCTTTGCAGCTAATAAAGTTTGTTTGAAGTATTGTCACTATTGTAATGTAGGAAACATGGCAGCTAATTTTTGCCCATCAAACTCCATCTTATAGCAGCGTGATAACTAAATAATCTTAATTTGTGACAATTATTGAAGGATAATTCCCTAATTCTTCTTTGAATTAATAGCAAGGAATCTTTTATCTCCAACTTGAGTGGGTAAATAAGTACTGCTGTGAAGAAGGGTCACTGGACTTGAAATGTTAACTCTGTTTCTCAACTCCACAGATGCCGCCAGACTTGCCGAGTTTCTCCAGCAATTACTTTTTATCTTTGTTTCAGATCTCTAGCATCTACAGTTCTTTGTTTTATTAACCTATTTACTGATGTTGCCCTCCCACCTGTTCCTTTTGTTTCATTCTTTTTTTGAATGCTGTTCATCTGTAGCTTTATTTTCCAAGGCACTTCACACAAGAAACGTGTTTGATCTCTCCTCAGGTGCTCCCTGACTTGAGTATTTCCACCATTTTCAATCTCTCGCTCTAGTTATGAACTCTTAATTTTGAAGACATCGATTTTAACCAATTAACAGAAACACTAAACTAAAAGTGAAGTACTTCACGTTTACAACACTTTTCCACTGGGCTGCTGGTTCTAAAACAATTGTAACACCTGTCTGTAATAGAATTTCAGTTGTTTAATGTTCACTCAAGCTTGCTGTTAGAAAATATATTAATATTATTTTTCTTTATTTGTTTATAGTTCCTCTTTCAGTCATACAGTGCAGGTTATAACCTGGCAAACAGAAATAAAACTACCTCTAAAGTAAGTATGTCAATCTTTTCAATTTGAGTTAAATATATCTTTTATGAATGTGTACAAGGGCTCCAGAAAATGTTGGCTACGAATGTCTTACATCTCAAAAATCACACCAGTTCACTAATCTTAATCATAGTCAAGCCGAATCATTTTTAAGCAGAATGACTGAAGTTCCACACTAATAGAGTTGTCTCTTAACTGCTCACTTAAGTAAGCTGGCAAGTCACACATTGCATCTAGAAAAGAGACCAAAACCACACAAACCACTTGGCTGAGACCAAGGCAGCGAAATTGTGTATGATCAAGGTTCATTGTGCTCAGTCAACATTGCCAGTGACTGACTGATTCCTGACTAATATCTGGGTGTGAGCACCAGACTTGCAAGAGGTGTTCCACAGATAAACAATCCAAAGATATTTAGGAAGGGAAGTTGCAAGAAAATGGAGGAAGTAAACTGAAATTGCTCAAATTAAATTTCATATCAAAGAGCCCAAAGTACTTGGGTCACATACCTTAATGATCCTGAACAAAATCTTGGAATCCACGCTAATTACACAGCAACCTACTTTGTGTCACTGTTTTGGACTCAGGATGATGGTCTCTTCAGATCTCCCATAACTTGAACTCGTCGTTTCTAAGAAGGTAGAACTACACATTTGATTTAAAAAAAAAAAATTCAACTACTTCAGAAAAATTTACATTATGTCAATTATTGTATCTGCATACTGTGTTTGAACCAAAATAATGTTTTTTTAAAAATGCTGTTTCTTTTTAGGATGTAAAGATTCCTCTACAACAAGGTTTCCTTTTGGTTGGAGCTGCGACCTATACTACATGTTTGGGAGTATGTAGTCATAATAGTATGTGTTTTATGAAAAGTTATCCATTGTGATTCAACAATGGTGCCATGCAACACTCGTGTCTGTTTAGAGATCACCACATAAATCATAGAATCCTTACAGTGTGCAAGCAGGCCATTTGGCCCATCAAGTCCACACTGACCCTCTGAAAAGCATCCCACCCACACCCACCCTATCCCTGTAACCCTGTATTTCCCATGGACATCCCAGGCCACTATCAGCAATTTAGCATGGCTGATCCACCTAACCTGGACATCTTTGGACTATGGGAGGAAACCGGAGCACCCAGACGAAACCCACCAAGACACAGGGAGAATGTGCAAACTCCACACAGATAGTCGCCTGAGGCTAGAATCAAACCTGGGTCCCTTGCGCGATGAGGCAGCAGTGCTGACCAGTGAGCAACCATAACTCCCCAAGATGTACCTTGGACTTCACAGAAATAATCTAGTTTTCATTTTTTAAACAGTAAAGTGGTGATTTTTATCTCTTTTTTCTTGACTTAGAAAAACTAGATTATTTTTAAGCACCAACAAGAACTTATTCTAAAATACAAACTGTGTGCATATTGACAGTTTTTCTGTCTTTTATACTTGACAAAATGCTGGTAGCACAGTCTGAACTCCTATTGAATGCTTCTCTAATATCTACCTCCTACCACTGCTTTTATTTTGTTAACTTCATATCAACTTCAATGCCATACAAATTATTATCAATTGATACAAAGTACTTGTAAAAATATTGAAAATATTTACATATAATGAAGGCATTTGAGCAGGTGGAATAGATGTACCCACTCTCTTTCCTTTGTAGCTTTAGTCTTTGAAAGTTGCATCCCCTGTCACTAATAGCTGTGGAACCTTTCCCTTCTTTCTTTTGCACAGTCTCTTCTGACGATACTCATTTGCTCTGTGATTTGGTTCCATTAGAGCTACTGGTTCTTCAGTACTTGACCAAGTTGAGCCCCACTACTGAATGTCAGCCCACAGTTTGGCAACAGAACATGTCACTGTCCATTTCTGTGCTCACTTGAAATCAACGTTCACTCGCAGCATGAATTACCTAATGGAAAATAAGATTTCAGAAGTTATTGTAGCTATCTAGCCATTTAAGACACTGTTGAGGATAAATATGTTCTCTTGGAGGTGGTGAGTCTATGGATCTCTTCCCCAGAGAGCAGTGAAAGTATAATTGTTGAAAACTTTAAGGCTAAGATAGTTAGATTCTTGATCAACAAGACAATAGAGCTTTATTGGGAGTAAACAGGAAAGTAGAGGTCAGATAATCCGCGACCTTATCAAAAGCTGAACAACAAGCAATGAATGGCCTACTCCTGTTCCTAATTTATATATTCATTTATACCCAAGCTCCAACTTAAGTCCTAAGCATGTTGTATATTGTACATCAAACATTTGGAGTTATTTATACTGGCGTTTTACTAATTTTTAAAAAACCTTTTTGAAATTAGGTTTTCCCTCAGTTTGTGATGAATCGCTACACATCTAACAGTCCTACACTACATACTGTGTTCAGAAAGATTCTGCCAGTTCCTGTACTTGGTAAGTAGGCAATTAACTGGAGCACCAGAGAGGGCACCAGGATTATCAGAATGGCACGTTGGTGTAATAAGAGATTATAGTGAAAGTACTTTGGTGAAAAGTACCTCACACTACACCTAAACCATGACTACCTGATAATGATACTAAGGAATAGAGTAGGGAGGCTTTGCACCTGTCTTATCTTAATAAAAATACTAATTTAGTTTTTATATAGAAATGGCATAATTTCCATAACCACACAAAGGCACATCAATTGTATGATATGAGAATTCGTTCTCCGAACTTCACGTTTCAGTTAAGTTTTTTGTTTCTTGTCTACAGTAATCTTCAATCTCACTGTTTATTATGAAATATTGCACCACAAACAAAGCTGGGGAGCTTATCCTACAGGTCCAGGGAGCAATTGGAGTTCAAATCACCTGTTTGCATTTTCACAAGTTTTTGGCTTCTGTCTAGAGAGAGTCAGCAAAGTAATTGACGAAGTAGCTACATTTCCCCACTGTCTTACTCCAGGGATTGTGAGGAGATGCATAAAGTAGGGGAAAGCTTAATTTTCCTGTTCCTCTACTTTTTAATCACTACTAGAAAGCATGAGGAAAAAGTCAAAATTGTATTTCCTTTAGTTTTTCAGCCTTGATCAACCATAAATTATTACTGCCTCTTGTACTTTAAGATATATATTCAAGAAAGATTCATAGAAGGAGATAAGATATTGTTTAATGTTTTTGATTTTGATAGTTGTTTAAGACCTGCTTTGATTTCACTCCTGTCTTTCGTCATAGCGATTGCATGTGCTCTGAATGTGGCAATAGTTAGAGGCATTGAATTTGACAAAGGAGTTGAAGTTGTGGATGAGAGTGGAAATGTGGTAGGAGTTTCACAATTAGCTGGAACTAAGGTAAGGTGTCTTACTGCATACTGACCATGTTTCTGAACTAACAGATAAAAGTTCATAAGCTCGGACCTTGTCTCACAATTCTGTAAATTTAAAGCTAACACCAGAAAAAAAAACCCTAAATATTGTTAATGGAACCTGTACAGTCTGACCTACACATGGTTTTACACCACACTGTGTGGTTGACTACTGATAAGAACATAGGAACAGGCATGGTAGACTGTTTAGCAAGGTTAGATCACATGGAATACACAGGGAGCTAGCCAATTGGATACAAAACTGGCTTGAAGGTAGGAAACAGAGGGTTGTTTTTTGGGACTGGAGGCCTGTGACATTCGTGGGCAGTCCTGAAGAATGGGAGTTTGTGTCCCTGAGGAGTACATGTCCTACTCTCCTCTCTTGGGTAATTAAGGTCACTGCTTCACCCAAAGCATATCATCACTGTGGTGCAGCCAGGTTGGAGATGGGTGAGGTGCTGCCAATTTATCAACTAGCTTGAGATGGAAGCAAGGAATCAGATTCTCAGTAACAGTGCTGTGTAACACCAATGTAAACTTCTACTTGCAATTTAATTTCTAAGATTGAATTCCACATATATTTTATAATCTGAGGAAATGCTGTATTTAATTGATTAATCTTAATTATTTTACTCATTATTGACTTCTCACCACTCTGGTGTAGAGTGATCTCGTCATTTTGCTATGTATTGGATGTGAGAGTTAAGTGAATTTGTGGCTTAAAACTGCAAATTGCATCTTTGACCACAAAATTAGCGGCAGTCTTTACAAAGTTGATTTGCTCCTATCTAGGCAATAAAAGAGACCGCGTTTTCTCGAGCAGTATTAGTCGGAACTACAGTAGCTGTACCCAACCTACTTGTCAGTTATTTACAAAGGTAGGAAATAGAAAGTGTCTTGCATTGCCTTTCAGATTGAATCCAAGTTCTGCCTCCATGTTCTTCTCTAAACACTATTCCAGTTTTTAGAAATTGATAAAAACTCTCTGCATTAACTTAAACAGTGTTTTATTTAATTTTCCATATCTTTCCCCAGCTTCACTCCATTTTAGCTTTCTAACAGCATGGACATGGAAGTAAAAAGAAAGACTTGCATTCTCATAACGTTTTTCTTGAGCACAAGTTATCCCAAGGCGCTTCAGAACCAATGAATCATAGAGTACAGAAGAGGCCCTTTGACCCTTGGAGTCTGCACTGACAAAAGCTACTGTAAACCTACATTAGTCCCACTTTTCAGCACTTAGTCCATAGCCTTGAATCTTATGCATTTTAAGTGCTCACCCAAGTACCTTTCTAAAGGTTGTGAAGTTTCTAACCTTAACTACTAGATTTCTATCGCCCTCTAGCTGGGGAGAAAAAATCCACAAATCCCCACTAAACCAGTAGTTTAACTGTTCAGCTAAGGGAAACTAAGCTAATTCCTATCAAGCCTGTTTCTGCCCCTCATAATCTTTATACAGCCCAATCAGATCTCCTGTCAGCTTTCTCTGCTTGGAAGAACACAACCTGGGTTTATCCAGCCTATCTTCGTAGCTAAACTGCTCCAATCCCAGGCAACACTGTGGTGAATCCCTTCTGGACACCCTCCAGTGCAGTCACGTCTTTCCTGTAGTGTGACTTGCACACAGTACTCCAGCTGTGGCCTAACCAGAGTTTTGTACAGCTCCAACTTAACCTCCCTGCTCCTATAATCTATACCACGACTAATACTTGCAAGTATCCTGTATGCCTCCTTAACTGCCCTATTAACCTATGGCCTGGTGGTTTCGTCACTAAATTTATGAATCCAGAAAACCCCAGACAATGTTTTAGGGAATCTGAGTTCAAAGCCTGCCATGGCAAATGGTTTAATTTGAGTTCAATAAAAATCTGGAATTAAGAGTCTAGTGAAGATCATGAAACCATTGTTGATTGTTGGGAAAACCCATCTGGTTCACTAATGTTCTTTAGGGAAGGAAACTGTTGTCCTTTTCTGATCTGGCCTACATGTGACTCCAGACCCACAGCAATGTAGTTGATTCTTTTAACTGCCCTCTGGGCAAATTGGGATGAACAATAAACGTTGAGCTAGCCAGCAACACCCACATCCCGTGAATCAATAAAAACCTGTCCTGCCACTTTCAGGGAGTGGTGGATAAGCACCCCAAGATCTCTCTGTTCCTCCTTAGCTTCCTAGAGTCTGACCATTGAATGAGTACTCTGTTTTCTTAATATTTCTTCCAAAATGCATCACCTCACACTTATCAGGGTTAAATTTCATCTGCACTGACCTGTCCGTCTGACCAATCCATTATATCCTCCTGTAGCCTAAGACCTTCATCCTCGCTGTCAACCACCCAGCCCATCTTAGTGTCACACAAACTTGCTTGGCACCCCCTGACGTTTTCTGCTATATCGTTTATCTATATCACGAATAATAAGGGAGCAAGCACTGACCCCAGTGATATGCTACTAGACACTGGCCTCCAGTTACACAAACAGCTTCCTACCACCACTGTTTGTCTCTTACCACCAAGACAATTTTGGATTCAACTTGTCAAATTACCCTGGATCCCCATGTGCTTTTTACCTGCTTTACCAGTCTCCCTTGCGGGAAATTGTCAAAAGCTTTTCTGAAATCAATGTAAATTATATCAACTGTTCTACCTTCATGTACACACCCAGTCACCACCTCTCAAAATTCAATCAAATTTGTTAGGCGTGACCTCTCTCTGACAAAGCCATGCTGACTATCCCTTATCAAACCTTGCCCCTGAAAGTGGAGATTAATTCTCTCCTTCAAAATTTTCTCCCGAGTTTCCCTACCGCTGATGTTAAACTCACTGCTCTGTAATTGCCTGATTTCTCTCTACCACCTATCTTGAAAAATGGAACCACATTAGCTATTCTCTGGTACTTTGGTGCCTTTTCCGTGACCAGAGAGGAATTAAACATTTGGATCAGAGCCCCTGTAATTTTCTGTCTTACTTTCCACAGCGCATAGGGATTTGTCCACTTTAAGCCCCCCGAAACTTCTAATACCTCCTTAATTCCTGTATCAAACTGCTCAGGAATCTCACAATTTCTCTTCCCAGATTCAGTACCGATATCCCCCTCATCCATAGTGAAGATAGATGTGAAGTAGTTGTTTAATACCCTACCTGTATCCTCAGGCTCCATGCACAGATTGCCCACTTGGACCCTAATGAGTTCAACTCTTTCCCTGGTTATCCCATTGCCCTTGATATGCTTTTAGGATATGTTGGTATTCTCCCTAATTAAGTACTTTTTAGAAAACACTTGCAGCCATTTGTGCATGGCAAGATCCCTAAAACTGCAAGGTGATACTGACCAGATATTCTAGGGCTTTTTTTGTGACGTTGAGGGACAGATATTGATCAAGAGGTTGGATAATTCCCCTGCTTTCTTTGAAATAGGAACATAGGAACAAGACTGCACCATTCAGTCCCTCGAGCCTGTTCCATCATTCAATGAGATAATTCCATATACCTGTCTTTGAACCATATCTCTTTGCTTATAGTTATAATACCATGGGATTTTTTTTATGCATCCAAACAGGGCTTCAATTTAATATCACATCTGAAAGGCCCTAGCTTCAAAAGCATGGCACTCTGCTGAAATATCAGCTTCGATGTTTGCTGTCATGCTCTGGAGTGGGATCTGAGCCTAGAACATTCTGACTTGTGGGCAAGATTTTCACCAACTGGTGCACAAGAGAGTCTTAACTTAAGAGGAGGTGGGAGATTGGGGCCCATGTAGCTGTTTGGATCAAAGTGCATACAAATGCCCATGTTGTAATTTGTTACTTTTTCAACTACATTTTTATTGTTGTTAAGTGCTCAATGATATTTTTTCTCCTCTAGGACAAATTTCATAAGAAGATTTCCACTTGCTCTGGCTCCTTTTAGACATACAATGACAGCCATTGTATTCGGACTAATGGTACCCATTTCTTTTAGCCTGTATCCTCAGACAGGGAAGGTATGTAATGAGTTCTAAGATATGTATTGTATTCTACTCCCAATTTTGTTCTGTATTTTGCTAGAAGTGCCAGCTGTCTCGCTAGTCTTTGCAATTAGTGGTTTCATTTAATGTTCGTGATGGCTTTCAAACTGGATTCCCATGATATGATGTCTGTGGGCTTATCAGATTCTTTCCCATTTCTCAATAGGGTTGAGTTTTACTGGATTTGTTGAATCAGTACTGTTGTTTCTTGCTGTATCTTAAACAAAATGGAAAAAAGAGGAAATTGCATTATCTAGTACATCTTATGATCAGCATCCTAAAGGTCTTTACAGCCATTAAGTATGTTTTGAAATATAGTGTAATGTGGGAAATGCAGCAGCCAATTTGTGCACAGCAAGCTCCCACAAACAGCAATGGCTAGATGATCTGTCCTTTAAAGTTGTTGATTGAGATTCAGTATTGTCCAGCATATCGGAGATATCTTTCAGCTCTGAGATAATGCAGTGGGATCTTTCACATCCAGCTGACATAGCAGATTGGGCCTTGATTTAATGTTTTCTCCAAAAGTCAGCACATCTGATAGTGCAACACTCCAACAATACTGCACTGGAGTGTCAGCCAAGACTTCTGCGCCCAAGTCTTTGAAGTAGGATTTCAACCTATGGCCGTCTGATTCAAGCAAGAGTGCGACTGAGTGAATCAGAATTATACTATAAGATAGCATGCATTTGCCTTTCATAGCTGATGCTTGATTTATCTAGTTTGGACTTGTTGCTCCTTGGATTTTGTTGATATTAACAAAGACTTCCTGAAAGATTTTCAGTTTTCAATGTTTTTATTTGTTTCTCTCCCCTACCCACCATGAGAGTGTTAATATTTGCAGAGAGCAACTTATACAGAAAAATTTGGAAAGCACTGCTTCAAACCCATCATTTCAAACTCATGAAGATTAAAAAGCACAGTTTCAAACTGCACAGCTTGATATTCAACGTATTAGCTTTTAAGTGCAGGAAATTACCTGAAATAATATTTAGTTATAGTAATTCTGAGAAAGAATCATTGCAAAACATGTAATAGTTCATATTGAGAAATGTCTTTGAGTCTCAGCAGCATAAGATAATAGGGACAGAGCAAAAATACCTAAAGACTGAGGCAGTCAAATGAGAGAGTGCTTTTTCTCACTCGGTTGAAAGTGTGATGACTGGGTTAGAAGAAGAATAATTCATATTATTTTACTTAATTCCAAATGATTATTCTGAGAGCAGCATTTTGTTTTGAGGCTGTGATTGTGTGGATTTGAGGTGGTGGGGGAGACTTGATATACTGTGGATCAGGGCAGTTGAGTTTGAAGAGCAAGGTTTGCAATTTTAAAAGTGAAAATTTATATAAATGATTTGGATGTGAATATAAGCGGTATGGTTAGTAAGTTTGCAGATGACACCAAAATGATTGGTGTAGTGGACAGTGAAGAAAATTATCTCCAAATTGCAACAGGACCTTGATCAGATGTGCCAATGGGCCGATGAATGGCAGACGGAGTTTAATTTAGATAGATGTGAGGTGTTGCATTTTGGTAAGGCAAACCAGGGCAGGACTTGTACACTTGATGGTAGGGCCCTGGGGAGTGTCACTGAACCAAAAGACTTGGGGTGCAGGTTCATAGTTGCTTGAAAGTGGATTCGCAAATAGACAGGGTGGTGAAGATGATGATTGGCACACTTGTCTTCATTGGTCAGAACATCGAGTATAGGAGTTGAGATGTAATTTTGTGGGTGTACAGGACATTGCAGAGGCAACTTTTGGAATACTGCATACAGTTCTGGTCGCATTTCTGTAGTAAGGATGTTGTTAAACTTGAGAGGGTGCAGAAAAGATTTACAAGGACGTTGCCAGGACTAGAGGGTTTGAGCTATAGGGACAGGCTGAATAGTCTGGGGCTTTTTTTCCCTGGAGCATCAGAGACTGAGGGGTGACGTTATAGAAGTTTATAAAATCATGAGGGGTATGCAGAGGATGAATAGGCAAGATCTTTTTTCTGGAGTTTGGGAGTCCAAAACTAGAGGGCTTAGGTTTAAGGTGAGAGGGGAAAAGATTTAAAAGGAAACTGAGGGGTAATTTTTTTCACGCAGAGGGTGGTGCGTTTATGGAACGAGCCTAGACGAAGTGGCTGGTACAATTACAAGATTTAAAAGGCATTTGGATAAGTACATGAATAGGAAAGGTTTGGAGGGATATGAGCCAAATACAGGCAGGTGAGACTAGTTTAGTTTTGGAACATGATTGGCGTGGACTAGTTGGATTGAAGGGTCTGTTTCCAAGCTCTGTGACTCTCTGGCTTGTCTAGTAACTCAGTATGTAGCAAAATAAACTCTATCACATTGGTGTTGAGGCTTCCAGATCAGAAAGGTCGTGAATTTGCAATTTTGGGTGAATTTGTCAATGGCAAGCAGTTCAGTGGTTGAAAATTTAAACCGATTTCAGTATAACAGAAGATCTGTAAAATGTCGAATTTTGTACTTCTCTGGTAAAGCATGGATTTGTGGATGTCACGTGATTGATTTTCCCCACTACAATTGCCATACCAGTAACTCACATCATGCTTTTGTGTATAACCGTGAGAGTGCTGGCAGGGAGCAATCTCCAAGTCAGGTTGATGTTGGAGGGGGAGATGGACACTACAAGTGTGAAAGTTAGCTAATTTGAAACTTCTCTCTGCATACAAAATAGCAGCTATTTTTAAAATCTAAACTACTTGTTAATTTTGTTTCAGATAAAACGGAGTAATCTTGAACCTTTGATCCAATCGGCCACAACAGAAGACAGCCTTTATTATAACAGAGGGTTGTGAAAGAAAGTTCACAAAACAAGGTTGCATTGTGCCTGGCGTCAAATTGTTCGCATAGACACATTTCATTACGCATGGACAATAATTCAAAACCAGGTAGCTCAGGACCTGAAAGCAGCCAAAATTTTATTTGATGCATAAGTATTTGTAATAATGTAAAACATTGTAACAACTAATGTTTGACTAAATAATATTAGTTATTTTAACATCAGTTTTTAAAAAAAGTTCCACTGTCCCTGCTTTTTGACAAGTTGTGATCAAATACCTTTATCTATGATGGATTTCCAAGATTTTTCCATCCTGTCTTTAAGGCAGTGACTTGTGCTGCAATACAGTTCCATGTTTGCAGTCCCTTACTTCCTTTGGAAATGTGACATTTTAATACAGGAGCCTTGTCATTTTTGGGATACCATGGAATATCACACTGTCTGCCCATGATCACCTCACTCATTGGCAGAAGATGCTGGATGGTAATGAAGAACAACACCCAATGCATGATTTGCCTGCCATTGTGTGGCCTGAAAATATACAAGTATATATAGAAAGTATGCAAAGTATATAAAAATAGAAAATATACTATTTTGCCCTCATTTCTGTCCTGATGACACCACAAACAAAAGGTGAGAACTTACCAGCCTGTTTGGGTAGCTGAGTCCCACACTGCTAAGTATACGTAATCATGAAGTTGTTGAGGAATTTGCATGTGTATCCTTTCTGGTGCAGAGACCTTAAGGTTTGAAATTCATTGAGGCCATGTATGTCTAAGCATTCAATATGGCAGGTGATACATGGAAAAATAGGTATGCAGGGACTCGGACTGAAACACCTGCTGGATCATTTGCATCTGCAAATCATGGACCAAACATCTTTTTGAAGTTCCCTTCCAATAATTCCCAGTTATCCCCTATCAGTTTTCTCCTTTCATAACCTGAGACCGACCTTGGTGCCACAGCTGGGAAGCCAACTGCTGCACCATCAAGTCGAAACCCATTAAGTTGTTTCTGCACAGCTGGTTGGTATCCACAGATAGTTGTCAATTTGCTAATGAGAGCTGGTGCCCAACCCTAGATGGGCCTCAAATCAGATTTCTACATCTCTGTCTCTGACGGCTGAACTCTGATTGCCAAAACATGATATTTATTGATTTTTAAGTTGTATCTGTTGTAATTAAGTAAAAAGAAAGAGTAATCATGGCACACCTGGGTAATAAAGACGCTTCCTTTTATCTAAACCAACAATTGTTTCATTATTTATTGAAAACCCCTGTTTTTTTCATTCAGCTCCTTGTTCTTGTTTGAATACCCAAAACAGATGAAATAAGTAAATTCATCTTGAAGTGACTCTTGTGTCAGTGGTTTAATCCAATCAAGATTCACAAAAATCTTTTCTATACAGACAATACTAACACAAATGGAAGAATTAAAATGAGTTACTACATCCAATCTCGCAGACTATTTCCTATCTTAAAAATTATTTTTAACCATCTTTTTTGGATGTATTATAGCATCCAACTTAAACAGAGACCTTCTATCCTGGAGGTAGGGACACTATCTCTTCATCATAAAAACCCACAATTTCTAATCTACATACACATTTGCAGTTATACGGCTTCTTAAAAGCCAAAGAAGTAACAATGATCTCTGTTGAAGTTAATTCAGACCCTCAATCTTGTATTTTCTCAACTCCTCAGTCTTTATATTACTCTGATCACAAACGGTGGTCTAATATCATCCCAAAGACTGTACCTCTGATAGTGCAGCACTTCCTCAGTCTTGTACTGAAGTGGCAGCCTTCGTTTTGTGCTGAAGATCTGTAGCAGGACTTGAATATAGAATCTTGTGTTTCAGTGATGAAAAATGTGCTACGAACTGAGTCATGACTGACTGTCTAACTCTTTGCAATAGTGTTTCCGTACATCTGAACCTCAGATCACTTGACAACATCAGACCATGTCCTCTGTCCATTTTGAATACACACCCCTAATATCACATTTGTCTTGTGGGCTTTACTTTCAGCAGAGGGGACCCATTTTCTCCTTTTCACATCAAACACCCATTTTACATTTCAGTCACTTTTAGCACCCCCTTTGTCTTTGCTGTAGGCACCCTCCCCATCTTTTTCATTCACTCCACCTTCTGTCATCAACACAAAAACATTTCCAGTCCATTTCAATTCTGCTCGAGTGCAGCAGAGGTGGAGGGAGTGGATGATTAAAGTGGGAATTTGGCTGCTTTGTCCTGGATGGTCTCAAGCTTCATGAGGTACTATCTGTTAGATTGCAATCCTGGGATGATGTTAGTAGAAATGATAATGACATTGAATGTCAACAGGGAGATGATTAGATTCTCTCATTAGAGGTGATCATTGCCTGACGCTTGTGTGGTCCTGTCAGAACCTAAAGTAAGCAAGTTACTGGTATCATAGTAATGTCCCTGAACTCATAAGCTAATAGCCGAGACTAATGCCTGGGGACATGGGTTTAAACCCCATACCAGCTGCTAGTGAAACTTGAATTGGAATTGCAAGTTATTTAGTCTCAGAAATAATGACCATTAAACTCTAATCAATTATCATAAAAGCCCATCTGGCTCACTAATATCATTTAGAGAAGAAAAACCTTCTATCTTTTCCTGGCCTACATGTGAGTCAAGATCCATGGCAATGTGTTTAACTCTTTACTGCCCTCTGAAATGGGCTAGCAACCCACTCCGTTCAAGGGCAGTTAGGGATTAGTGGCCATTTTGGCCTTGCCAATGATGCCCACGTGTGTGAAAGGATAAGAAAAAGTCACTTAAAAGCACTGTTGACATACCCTTTTCATCATTTTGCTTCTGATAAAGATGAGACCGATGGGTCTGCAATGGATTTGTTCTGATTTTTGTTGTTCGAGCAAGACTATAAATTGGAAGACAATATTGGCATAAATTCCTGTTCCATAGAATCTATCTTTATCAAGGACCAGACTCCAATCCCCAATACCAGTCGCAAAAATTTCCACATTACTTGGCTATTCCCACATTCTCATTACTCAGTACTACCCTTCTGACCTCCACAGCCAATATGCTACAAAAGCCCAGAGGTAAAGAAACTGCTCCACTGCAGAAGTGAATATTCTCATTACAAATCAAGGAGTTTTATTTAACTTTGGAGTACAAAAAAAACATTGGTTATAGCTTCATTGTCACGAGCACAGCTGCCATTGCCAATCTTTTCTAAACTATAAAAATCAACTGAAGCTGATATTTGGATGCATGTCTGATGAGTGATTTTAAAAAATGCAACATAAAATTGGGTTTCAAAAGGGACCTGTGATACCAGAATGGAGTGAACACAGCTACACTTGTAATCTCTGCTGTTATATTCCAAAGAGAATATATGATTGAATCTTGTGTGTGTGTTTTTTTGGCTAAGTCCAAATTGTCTAGAGTTTTTTTTGTGGAGAGATTTCTCACCAAATCTTACCAAATCTGCCTCATTAACTATGTTGTCTGTCCCATGGCATTGCTCATATCTGATTCTGGCCCCAGCTTTCCATACGCCGTTCTTGAAACAATACACCGCCCAGCAGATATCCTAGAATTTACTGGCATCCCTTGTACATGTGCCATCTTTAAAAGCAGTTATATATCTGGACAAACACTGTCAGTCTAGAGCTGCCCTGCACAGTTCTGGAGATTTACCCTGGACAGGGCACTGGTGGAAATAGTCACCCTGCTTTCCAGGCAGGGATCTGGAGGTCCTGCTGGACAGATTGATGCAAACGTGGGACTTTATCATCTCCCAGGGATGGCAGTGGAGGCCATGACACTGGACCATGCCAGCATTGTCGAAGTTGCCAGCTGGCTTAAAGATATCTCACCATCTACTGGAATGCACAGCGCTGTAAGGAGATCAATGACCTTCTCCATTCTGCCAGTTTAAGCTCCACCATCTTCACCTTGATACTTCTCACTCATTCTATTGCTGCTACTGTACATGTCTCTCATCAAGGGTATGGCTTACTATTCTCACTATTACATGCAACATCTTCCCTCACTCGCTCTTACCAACCCCAATCCTGATACCACTAACTCTGAATGCTCTCTGCTCTGCCTAATTACTCGCTCAGGACACGTCTCCACTTGTACCAACAGTAACAACTATGTCACCCACTTTCATCTCCCTTAATACCTGCCTCGTCCTCATTTCAGGAGGAAAGCAGCCCCCAATACAGCAGAAAGACTCAAGACAGGTGGTAGGCTGCCCAATATTTGGCTCCTCACTCCTCTTGTGGAGAACATCCTGACTCTGACTACCCTGAGTGGCTGACTGACAGTTTCCAACCCCTGGACTGGTATTGAAGGCTGCCCTTGATTTTGTGTGCCAGGGCCTCCTGAACAAAGCTGCCTTGCTTGACTTGACTGAGGCCTGCTGACAACCACGGCAAGCTTCCGACCTTGGTGTCTGTACTGAGTGGAAAGGCAGGATAGAAGTAAATAATGAGCCTGGTATCTCTGGCTGAGAGGGCAAAGCACAAAATGGCAAGACAAGGTGGGATGCTATGAGCATCGAGGTAGGTTTCCTAATTGGCAACTTGCTACTCCTAGCAAGAAACTTGCCACGCCACTTGCCAAAAGCAGAAAAGATCGACCAAAATGCTCTGACATCAAAGTCTGTATTACTGGACTTCTCATCTGACTCTGCCACGAATCTCACCACAGCCCACGTCACTTAGACGTCTAGAAGATTCCATCCATAATATTTAACTCATCTCAGACTTCATTACACTTAAGGCAACATTTTTATGTGTTGGACACTGGGAGGGCTATATCATGGGAGTGTGCTTAAGAATTTATTATCCTGTTGTGAGATTGGATAGAAAATTTGCTATGGGGATTCAGCCAGTTGAAAGAAAGGCTTGTGTAATATGATTGCTGAATAACAAGTAGAAAATGACCATTGGAAAGAAGAAAAATATAGATTATGCCAACGAAATATGTGAACAAGCCATTAAATTATCAGAATGAAAACTGCCTGTAATGTAGCAATCATCATGTTCAAAATACACATCAAACTTTATACAAGTTTTTTTTTAAATTCTCAAGCATTGCTATCAAGGCCAGCATTTACTTTCCTGGTTGCCCTTGAGTCACCTGGCTAAAACACTGCAGTCCACGTGTTAAAGGTATTCCTATACGGTTGTATGGAGTTCCTGGAAATTGACTCAGCAACACTGAAATATGGAAATATTTGTTCAAATCAGGAGGGTTTCTGACTTGGGAGGACACTTGGAGATGGTGGTGTCCTTATGTATTTGGTGACCTTATTCCTCCAGGTGGTGGGGATTGTTGGTCCAGAAAGTGCTGTTGAGAAACAGGGAACCGAAAAATAAATAGCTAGATCGATAAGAAAATTAATTCTTTGTGGTTGGGCGGGATGCAAAATAATTGTCCAGATATGAGTCTGTATTTAGTGGCTGCAGTGATGTGCCTGTCCACTGTCTACAGAGCCGGAGGTAACCCCATCCCCATTTCCTGCGGCTATGTCCAGGAGCCTCGATGGGATTTAATCCCGAGCAGGCACTTCCCAGGTCTGTCATCAGGCTTAAGAATCGAAAGAACTGCAGATGCTGTAAATCAGAAACAAAAACATAACTTTGCTGGAAAAGCTCAGGATCTGTGAAGAGAAATCAGAGTTAACATTTCGGTTCTGGTGACCCTTCCTCAGATTGTAGCTAGGAACCTGTCGGTTTATATGCATAAATCAAGGTGGGGCGGGAAAGTGTACGTGGTAGTTGAGGATAGAGCCCAAAGAGACAGAAGAACAGTTAAACAAAGGAGTGGATAACGATCTGGCTAGGAGGGTGAACAGCTGTTAATGGAGACTGTTAATGGCTAACAGTAGGGAGTGTGTAATGGCAGATATGTGATAACAAGGCCTGATGTGTGGGATAGGGGGCTAGGACATGGGGAAATTCAGGCCCTAAAATTATTGAACTCAATATTGAGTCCAGAGGGCTGCAGGGTCCCCAAGCAGAAAATGAGGTGTTGTTCTTCCAGAGATAGTAGGAACTGCAGATGCTGGAGAATCCGAGACAACAAGGTGCAGGGCTGGATGAACACAGCAGGCCAAGCAGCATCATAGGAGCAGAGAGGCTGACGTTTCGGGCCTAGACCCTTCATCAGAAAAGGGGGAGGGGAAGGGGATTCTGAAATAAATAGGGAGAGAGGGGGAGGCAGATAGAAGATGGATAGAGGAGAGGATAGTGGAGAGGAAACAAACAGGTCGAAGAGGCGGGGATGGGGCCAGTAAAGGTGAGTGTAGGTGGGGAGTTAGGGAGGGGATAGGTCAGTCCAGGGAGGACAGACAGGTCAAGGGGGCAGGATGAGGTTAGTAGGTAGGAGATGGGGGTGCGACTTGAGGTGGGAGGAGGGGATAGGTGGGAGGAAGAACAGGTTAGGGAGGCGGGGATGAGCTGGACTGGTTTTGGGATGCGGTAGGGGGAGGGGAGATTTTGAAGCTTGTGAAATCCACATTGATACCATTGGGCTGCAGGGTTCCCAAGCGGAATGTGAGTTGCTGTTCCTGCAACCTTCGGGTGGCATCGTTGTGGCACTGCAGGAGGCCCAGGATGGACATGTCGGAATGGGAGGGGCAGTTGAAATGGTTTGCAACTGGGAGGTGCAGTTGTTTATTGCAAACCGAGCATAGGTGTTCTGCAAAGCAGTCCCCGAGCCTCCGCTTGGTTTCCCCGATGTAGAGGAAGCCACAGCGGATGCAGTATACCACATTGGCAGATGTGCAGGTGAACATCTGCTTGATGTGGAAAGTCTTCTTGGGGCCTGGGATGGGGGTGAGGGAGGAGGTATGGGGGCAGGTGTAGCACTTCCTGCGGTTGCAGGGAAAAGTACCGGGTGTGGTGGAGCTGGAGGGGAGTGTGGAGCGGACAAGGGAGTCACGGAGAGAGTGGTCCCTCCGTAAAGCAGATAAGGGTGGGGAGGGAAAGATGTCTTAGGTGGTGGGGTCGGATTGCAGATGGCGGAAGTGTCGGAGGATGATGTGTTGGATCCGGAGGTTGGTGGGGTGGTACGTGAGGACGAGGGGGATTCTTTTTTGGTTCTTATTGCGTGGACGGGGTGTGAGGGATGAGTTGCGGGAGATGTGGGAGACACGGTTGAGGGCGTTGTCGACCACTGAGGGGGGGAAGTTACGGTCCTTGAAAAACGAGGACAACTGAGATGTATGGGAGTGGAATGCCTCATCCTGGGAGCAGATGCGGCGGAGGCGAAGGAATTGGGAATAGGGAATAGCATTTTTGCAGGAAGGTGGGTGGGAGGAGGAGTATTCTAGGTAGTTCCAGCTTGTGTTGAGCTTCGCTGGAACACTGCAGCAAGCCTGAGACGGAGATGTTGGCCAGGGAACAGGGGGTGTGTTAAAGGGCAGGCAACTGGAAGCGCAGGGTAATTTCTGCGGGCAGGACGTAGGTGTTCCGTGAAGGGTCACCCAATCTACGCATCGTTTCCCCAATATAGAGGAGACCACATTGTGAGTAGCGAATGCAGTAGACTAGATTGTGAGAAGAACAGGTAAAGTGCTGCTTCTTCTGGAAGGTACGTTTAGGCCCTTGCACAGTGGGGGAAGGAGGAGGTAAATGGGCAGGTGTTACACCTTCAGCGGTTGCAGGGGAAGGTGCCGTGGGGCTGTGGGGGGTGTTGGGATCAAAGGAAGAGTAGACCAGGATGTACTGGAGGGAACAGTCCCTGCGAAAGGTGGACAATGGAGGGGAATATGTGTAGTGGTGTCATCTCGCTGGAGGTGGCGGAAATGCTGCCTGATGATCTTCTTGATGTGGATGCTGGTGGGATGGTAGGTAAGGACAAGGGAAACCCAATCGCTGTTGTGGGAGGGAAGAGAGGGTGAGGGCGGAAGTGCAGGAGATGTGTCGGACATCATCCACTGTCAGGGTTCCCAGGGCATTCAACATGGATGTTCCATCTCCAAGAGCAGCCAGTTAATTAGACAGTCCTAATTCTTCAGTAATATCTCCAGGACACCTGGGAAGGGGAGCAGCCAATGAGGCCCTAAACCAAGATAAGTGAGGCAACCTAGCCAGAGTCAATTAGATAGGCCCAGGGTGAGAGTGAGGCAAGGAGGATCATTGTGAAGGGTGAGGATAATCTTCCCGTGGTGGAACCCTGCAATTGGTACAGGTTGTTCCTGGAGAAGTCCATTAAATCCTATGCATCATTTCAGAGAAAATCAATTTTGACAAGCCAGATATAAAAAAAAGCAGCAATTTATGCAAACAAACATATTAGTCATATTGAATTTTGAGGTGTACCAGAGGAGTTAGTCCTGTATTCATTTTTACTGTCTTTCTTTAGTTAAGTACATAATAATTTGTGAAGAATAATCTGGATCTACATGTAGATTCCTTAATTAAGGATTTAGCATGATTCTTTAAGTATACATATACACATTCCTGTAACTGATAGGTCAATTCAGAATATATTTAACTTGTATTTCTGGAAGTCCAGCAAGTAATGTGTTGTGTGCCAGTTCAATTTCAATCATTTATTCATTTGCCCAAAGCAGTTGTTAAGCTGAATACTGTCTAAGAATTCACCTTGGTCCACTATATTAAAGGTTTCACAATGTAAGTAGCAAGGGTCAGATCTGAAGCATTTGCTCTGCGGCCGCTAAGTGATAGAGGAAGCTCTCAATCACTGGTGGAAAATGACGCTCCTTCAGAATCTCCAGAGTGATCTTGGGTTTTCCCCCTTCATTTGGTGCCAGTGAAGCTAAATTAGCCAAGATTTCTTTTGTTTTCTGTGAAATGTCCTGAAAGGAATCATGTAAATGGAAGTCAGCACAAAGGAATAACGAGTCTGGAATCCTGTTTTTAAATTTTGTTTAGACCCACACCCTCTGTTTCTTGTTGGCTCCACAAGTCACACAAACCAGGAAGATCTGAAGGTCATGGATGCTGGAGAATCTGAGATAACACGGTGTAGAGCTGGATGAACACAGCAGGCCAAGCAGCATCAGAGGAGCAGGAAAGCTGATGTTTCGGGTCGAGACCCTTCTTCAGAAATGGGGGAGGGGAAGGGGATTCTGAAATAAATAGGGAGAGAGGGGGAGGCAGATAGAAGATGGATAAAGGAGAAGATAGGTGGAGAGGAGACAGGCAGGTCACAGAGGCCGGGATGGAGCCAGTGAAAGTGAGTGTAGGTGGGGAGTTAGGGAGGGGATAGGTCAGTCCAGGGAGGACGGACAGGTCAAGGAGGCGGGATGAGGTTAGTGGGTAGGAGATGGGGGTGGGGTTGAGGTGGGAGGAGTGGATAGGTGGGAGGAAGGACAGGTTAGGGAGGCGGGGACTAGCTGGGCTGGTTTTGGGATGCAGTCGGGGAGGGGAGATTTTGAAGCTTGTGAAGTCCACATTGATACCCTTGGGCTGCAGGGTTCCCAAGTGAAATATGAGATGCTGTTCCTGCAGCTTTCGGGTGGTGTCATTGTGGCATTGCAGGAGGCCCAGGATGGACATGTCATCCAAGGAGTGGGAGGGGGAGTTGAAATGGTTCGCGACTGGGAGGTGTAGTTGTTTGTTGCGAACTGAGCGTAGGTGTTCCGCAAAGTGGTCCCCAAGCCTCTGTTTGGTTTCCCCGATGTAGAGGAGGCCACAACGGGAACAGTGGATACGGTATACCACATTAGCAGATGTGCAGGTGAACATCTGTTTGATGTGGAAGGTCTTCTTAGGGCCTGGGATGGGGGTGAGGTGTAGGGGCAGGTGGTGCTGGGGTGGTGGGGCTGGAGGGGAGTGTGGAGCGGACAAGGGAGTCACGGAGAGTGTGGTCCCTCTGGAAAGCAGATAAGGGTGGGGAGGGAAAGATGTCTTTGGTAGTGGGGTCAGATTGCAGATGGCGGAAATGTCGGAGGATGATGCATTGGATTCGGAGGTTGGTGGGGTGGTACGTGAGGACGAGGGGGATTCTGTTTTGGATGTTATTGCCGGTAGGGGGTGTGAGGGATGAGTTCGGGAAATGCGGGAGACACGGTCGAGGGCATTTTCGACCACTGTGGAGGGAAAGTTGCAGTCCTTGAAAAAAGAGGACATCTGGGATGTCCAGGAGTGGAATGCCTCATCTTGGGAGCAGATGCGGCAGAGGCGAAGGAATTGGGAATAGGGGATGGCCTTTTTGCAGGAAGGTGGGTGAGAGGAGGTGTATTCTAGGTAGTTGTGGGAGTCAGTAGGTTTGAAATGGATATCGGTTTCGAGGTGGATGCCAGAGATGGAGACAGAGAGGTCCAGGAAGGAGAGAGAGGTATCAGAGATGGTCCAGGTGAACTTAAGGTTGGGGTGGAAGGTGTTAGTGACGTGGATGAACTGTTCGAGCTCCTCGTCAATGTAACGGAGGAAGAGGTGGGGGATAGGGCCAGTGTAGCTTTGGAAGAGGGATTGTTCCACGTATCCTACAAAGAGGCAGGCATAGCTTGGGCCCATGCGGGTACCCATGGCCACCCCCTTTGTCTGTAGGAAGTGGGAGGAATTGAAAGAGAAGTTGTTGAGGGTGAGGACGAGTTCGGCTAAGCGGATGAGGGTGTCAGTGGAGGGGGACTGGTCGGGCCTGTGGGACAGGAAGAAGCGGAGGGCCTTTAGGCCATCTGTATGGGGAATGCAGGTGTATAGGGACTGGATGTCCATGGTAAAGATGAGGTGTTGGGGACCAGGGAATTGGAAGTTCTGGAGGAGGTGGAGAGCGTGGGTGGTGTCACAGACATAGGGAGTTCCTGGACCAAAGGGGAGAAAATGGAGTCAAATTGACACTCCCCTCCAGCCCCACCAGCCCCGGCACGTTTCCCTGCAACCGAAGCAAGTGCTACACCTGCCCCTAAACCTCCCCCCTCACCCCCATCCCAGGCCCTAAGAAGACCTTAAGAAGGTATCAATGTGGACTTCACAAGCTTCAAAATCTCCCCTCCCACAACCGCATCCCAAAACCAGTCCAGCTAGTCCCCGCCTCCCTAACCTGTCCTTCCTCCCACCTATCCCCTCCTCCCACCTCAAGCCCCACCCCCATCTCCTACCCACTAACTTCATCCTGCCCCCTTGACCTGTCCGTCCTCCCTGGACCGACCTATCCCCTCCCTAACTCCCCACCTACATTCACCTTCACTGGCTCCATCCCCGCCTCTGTGACCTGCCTGTCTCCTCTCCACCTATCTTCTCCTTTATCCATCTTCTATCCGCCTCCCCCTCTCTCCCTATTTATTTCAGAATCCCCTTACCCTCCCCCATTTCTGAAGAAGGGTCTCGACCCGAAACGTCAGCTTTCCTGCTCCTCTGATGCTGCTTGGCCTGCTGTGTTCATCCAGCTCTACACAATGTTATCTTAGATCTGAAGGTCAATTCTCCATTTACTGTTGAAGAAACTGATCTAAGCTGGATAATAGTAGCTGTTTTACAGTTGACCTCAATTCTGTGAACTATGTAAAGTCAGCAAGGGCTCCTGCTTTGGTCCACCTGATCAGCAATCACTCCTGGGAGACGAGAGTTAGCCTTGGTTTTGATGCCACCCATACCTTCATACCTAACAATACCATGGTCCAGCTATGAATGCCAACATGAAAAGACAAACTGCACATTGGCATGAGAATCAACGTATTCAGAAAAGGGAGGGAGAGAAGAAAACCCAAGCAAAGAATAAAACTCTAAACCAAAACGAAGAAATTGGTTTGAACAAACGTGCGTCTCTTGCGAACACCGCTAAGGTGCAAAAGTGCTGCGCACGCGCACAATCACAACTGGGCCTAAGCCTGGATCAAAGATGGCGCCGTCCAGATCATCACGATCTAGGGCGGAGTCAAACTCCCGTCAGGCGGCGCGGGAAACTGAAACTAACGGACTTTTCATCTTCTGCTGTGATGGTGGTTAAAAAACATTTCAATTTGTAAATTCGAAAAGAGTTCTGAGGAGAAATACCTCCCCGATTTTATTGGGGCCGTATCGCAGTTGTTGTAAATCCCGCGCGTGTGTGTAAATGTGTGAGTGAGAAAGAGACCTCCTGTCAGATTGAACAGTTTATGCTGGGTAGGTGTTTAATAAAGAGTTTGCTGTCAACTAACACCCCCATGATCAAACTCAATGTGCAATCTGATCCCCAAAATGGGGGTAAAAATCTCCCTAAAGCTTGGATACCACCGTCAATGTTGGGGGAAAAGGCGCCCTAGTCCTACCAGACCCTAGGGCTGCTCTCTCGTTGACTCTTAACTGGCCTCTGAGCACTTAGGGATGGACAATAAATGTGGCTAATAGCCAGCGACACCCACATCGTGTGAATGAATAAAAAAAAACGTAGAGACGACTGCTGGTGGTTTAATGAGGCCTGCAGGCGAGGGGAGAGGTTGAGAATGTATTGGGGCTGTCTGTCTCACTGGGTGCAGGAGGCTCTCAAATTAAGACAGAAGGAAAACTCGTCACTGCAAAAAGGTAAGAGCCAAGCATTCTCAGCCTAATTTCCATTGCAGTTGTAGCCTTCACGTTAAATTTGTATATCTAAGAGGTCACTAGATAATCCACTGTGATGTGATTGAGTTAACTAATTCAAAAGGAAAAGCTTCAGATTCATTTCTCAATTTTGTTTGCTTCCAATAAGAAATAACTTGGGACAAACCTGTTCTTTATATATTATTGTAATCAAATTGTTCAGAGATGTCATTACACCCCTGTAGAGCAGGTGGGACTTGAACTCGGGCCTCCTGGCTTGATGGCAGGGATGCTACCACTACACCACAAGACCCCTTTTCTGCTTTATATTGTACTTGTTCTTTATCTATTTGCAAGCTAATTGGATCTTCAACCCAAGAAATTGAACTGTTTCTACCATTTTACTGGGACTTTTAAAATAATTTGCTGCTTATCCCTAGTTGCTCTGAGGGGATGATGGTTCAGTGTTCTAACTTTGAAATTTGTAAGATTTATATTTTGAGGTTTTTTTTTTAAGATAAAATCTTGGAATGATGGGGATGCTGTGGCCTGTCCCGAATCCTGACCAGCAACATTCTTGGGTGTCTAAGATTTGTCATTTAGTTTGGTGGGTGGGGGCATTCAGGTAACCTCACTGAAAAGACGGTTGGCTGAGATTAGAGAGAATCCTAAAATATTCTGTAAGTATATCAAGGGGAAAAGGATAACCATGGAAAAAGCAGTCCACTAAGGTCCAAAGGGACAATCTGTGCATGGAGCTGGGGCACATTGATAGAATATTAAATGAGAATTTCACATCTGTCTTCACTTTGGAGAAGGAGGATGTATTGGAGGTTTTGGTGAGCTTAAAAGTGAACAAATACCCAAGTGCAGATGAGATGTATCCTAGGCTGCTGTGGGAGAAAATTACAGGGGCTGTGACCCACAGTTTTAATTCCTCTCTTGTCACAGGGGAGGTGCCACATGAGGACTGGAGGACAGCTGATGTGGCTCTACTTTTCAAGAATGGTGGTAGAGATAAATCAGGGAATTACAGACTAGTTAGTCTCACATCAGTGGTAGGAAAACTATTGGTGAAAATTTTGAAGGAAAGAATTAATCTCTGGAGAGGCAAGGTTTGATTAGGGATAGTCAACCTAGCTTTGTAAGAGGGAGATCACACATAACAAATTTGATTGAATTTTTGAGAATGTAATCAGGCATGTAGATGAGGGCGATGCGATTGAACTAATTTATAATGAATTTGGGAAAACCCTTTGACAAGGTCCCCTCATTGTGAGACTGATAAAAAAGTTAAAAGCTCATGGGAGTCCAGTGTAACTTGGTAAATTGGATCCAAAATTGTTCTTACAGTAGGAGACAGAACGTAGATGGTTACAGAACGCTATGTGACTGCAGGCTGGTATCCAGTGACATACCACAGACCAATGCTGGATGCCATTTTGTTTGTGATACATATAAATGATATGGAAGAAAATGTGGGAGGATGATAGTAAGTTTGTGGTTGACACAAAGACAGATTGGATGGTTGACAGTGAGGAAGAAGTCTTAAGTTACAGGAGAATATGGATGGGATGGGCAGATCACAAGACCCTCAGAACAATCACTATCGATATTGTCCATCAACTTGTTCAGACATGTTATCACACACCTCTGGAACAAGTGAGACTTGAACCAAGCCTTACCTGACTCAGAGATAAAGATACTACCAGTGCACTACAAGAGTGTCCTGAAAAGAGTATTTTCTATCAACCTGATCAGATGTTATGACATACTTCTAGGACAGAGGGTTATGGACCTACATCTGCTGGACCTGATTAGGGAAACTACTGTTGCACCATAAGACTCTCAGAAAAATCACTGTGCACTATTTAAAGTTCAAGAGACAGACATAATGCCAAATAATCACCTTAATCACTTGACCATCTGATTTCTCTGGGTCACTGGCTGATTGGACAATGAATTGCCCAATGTCCTTGTGCAGTTTACCCATTGTCATTGATTCTGTGGGAGAGAGAGTTAAACAGTTCACTATCATCATCAAATTGTAATAATAAAACCAATAATAATTTCATCCTGTGTTTGCAAATCTCACTGAAGTGTTGTTCATGGCAAGTAAGACAATTTACAACAATTGGTGTTGCCAACAAAGTGTGGCAGGGAAATGTTGTAGGATGTTAAAATGATACAAAAAGAAATCTATACATAGAACATTTAACATATTGGATACATATATGTGTAAATCCTAATTCTCTGACCGACATCACACATTAATGGCAATTGAGCACAAGGCTGCTGCATCAATAGTTATTCCAAATATTACATGGATCCAAAATGGCACAATGTTATGCTAATAATAACAGATTATTGCAATGTCCTGTAAAATATAAAGTCACACTTAAACTAATGTTTAAATCCCACCAATATGCTCCTTGTTTACTGTTCTTAATCAACAACCTCAACTGGCTCCAAACACTACCAATACCAGTGAGAGATCTGCAGCCACAAAAACTTCACTTTATTGATTTGCTGTATCCAGTTATAAAGTAAGCACTGGAAAAATGTAAAGAATTTAACTATTTACAGTCTACCTGATCATTGTTATTCATGCAAAATCAATTGTCCCTTGGTTCAGTGCAAAATACTACTTGGAGGGAAAATTCTTTAACGTCAATTGCTTCCATATCAAAATTAAACTGAGTACCATAGATCACAGTACGCAGTTCACAGCAATGCTGTTGCCCACTCTGTCCCAGACGTTTTGAAGTCTGCATGCATAAGATTCAACAGTCTTAAAATATTGGCAAAAGTAAGCTCATATGGTAAACGTCACTTGGTCAATTCCAATTTATGCTGGAGAGACTCTGGAATATGTTGCACACTTACTATACCTTGATAGCCATCTCTCTCTAAAGGCTGCCAGTGACAAGGAGACCGAACACTAGATCAGTTCCACCAGTTCAGCCCTCAACAAACTCTGGCACTGAGGTTTCATAACAAAGACCTCTAGGTCAACAAAAGTCCTAGTGTGCACAACAGTTGGCATCACCATACTCCTGTTGTGCAGTGAGACTTGGACTGTGTATCAGCAACATGAAGAACTGAAGAAACTCCATCAGCAATACCTCCATCCCATTCTAGGGACACTGGGGAGGCTATCAAAGAAATGCCAGTGGTATTGTGAAGCCGTCTGTCTGAGCATCAAGATAAAACTCCTGAAAAACCAACTGCAATGGACTGAACATTATATCTAGATGGCTGAAAGGCAGGGAAATTATTGGAAAAAATTCTGAAGGACAGGATTAATCAGCACTTGGAAAGGCAGAGATTGATTAGGGTAGTCAGCATGGATTTGTTAGAGGGAGATCTTCTCTGAAGAATTTGATTGAGTTTTTTGAAAAGGTGACTAAATGTATTGATGAAGGTGGTGCAATTGATGAGGTTTACATGGATTTCAGTAAGGCCTTTGACAGGGTCCTGTATGGAAGACTGGTCCAAAAGGTAAGAACTCATGGGATCCAAGGCAAGTTGGAAAACTGGATCCAAAACAGGCTTACAAGTCGGAGGCAAAAGTTGATGGTGGAGGGTTGTTTTTTGTAATTGGAAGCCTATGACCAGCAGTTACCACAGGGATTGGTGCTGGGACCTTTGCTGTTTGTTACATGCATTAATGACTTGGATGTGAATGCACACGGTATAATTAGTAAGTTTGCAGGTGACACGAAAATTGGTAGTGTTGTTGAAAGTGAGAAGGATGGTCTTGGATTACAATATGTTATTGATCAGCTGGTAGATTGGGCAGAGCAATGGCAGATGAAGTTTAATCCCAATAGTTGCAAGGTGATGCATTTTGGGAGGTGAATTAAGGGAAGGACATACACAATGAATGCTAGGTCCCTAAGGAGAACTGAGGAACAAAGGGACCCTGGTGTACAACTACAAAATCTCTGAAGATGTCAGTACTGGTAAACAGGGTGGTGAAGAAGGCATACAGGATGCATGCCTTCACTAGTCAGGGTGTAGAATATAGGATTAAGGAAGTCTTGTTACAACTTTATAAAACATCGGTTAAGCCACAGATGGAATACTGTGTGCAGTTCTGGTCACCGCACAATTAGATGGATGTGATTGCACTGGAGATGGTGCAGAGGAGATTCACCAGGAAATTGCTTGGGATGAAAAGTCTCAGGTGTGAGGAGAGACACGATGATAGGCTGGGTTTGTTTTCCTTGGAGCAGAGGAGGCTGAGGGGGGTCTGACTAGGATATATACAATATATGAGAAGCAAAAACAGAGTAGATTGTAAGAATCAGACTTGATTAAGATCAGAGGGCCAAATTTTGAGGGGATCGGAGAAAAACTTTTTTCACTGAGAAGGTGATAGAAATATGGAACGTGATGCCTGACAGGGATGGTGGAGGCAGGTACTCTTGCAACATTTAAAAAACATCTGGATGAGTACTTAAAATGTCAGGGCATAGTAGGCTATAAATAGGATTTGTGTAGTTCAGTGTTTGTTGGTCGGCACAGACATAGTGGGCTGAAGGGCCTGTTTCTATTTTGTATGACTCTATCTCTACAGTCAGGTTATCTTTTCTCTACTCTCACACCTCCAGTGTTCCAGGAGATAATGAGGAAAATGCTACAAAGTCACTCCAAAGATTTCCCTGAAATATGACAGCATTGACATTTTTGACTGGGAGGAGCTGCTAGAAATCGTTCAAAATGACAACAATGGTCCAGCAAGTTGCATTGTGCTATGAGTTCTTATGCTTCAATAATGAGGCAGAGAAGAAAGGGGAGCAAGTTCACACTCTAGATCCTATCACTTCGTGGGAGATTATGACCTATGTACCCAAAGATCTGCAGACCGAGAATCAATCTGTCATGTGAAGAGTCACTACAGAATTAGAGAGGTGGTAGCACACTGGTAATGTCACTGAACCAGAAACCAATGGCTGAAATAACTGCCCCCACTCCCCTCCACCCTGACTAAAATGTACAGGAGGAGCCCATATAGGGGACTTTAAGGGTCAACAGACAAGGGCCCTCATTATAGACTGGTCCATAAGATTAAGTCACATGGGAAACACAGAGTTGTTAAATTGGATACAAAATTGGCTTCTTCATAGAAGACAGAAAGTAGTTTTGGAGAGGTATTTTTATGACTGGAAGTCTGTGACCAGTGGTGTTCTGCAAGGATCAGTGGTAGGACTTCTGTTATTTGTAATATATATGAACGATGAGGATGAAAATGTCGATGGCCTGATCAGTAAGTTTGCAGATGACATGAAAATTGGTGGAGTTGTGGATAATGAGGAAGGTTGTCAAAGGATACAGCAGGATATAGATCAGGTAGAAAGCGGAGCGGAGAAATGGCAGATAGAGTTTAATCTGGACAAGTGTGAGGTGATGCATTTTGGGAGGTCAAATGACAGGACCCTTAGGAGAGGTGACAAACAGAGTGATCTTATGGGTGCAAGTCCACAGCTTACTGAAAGTAGCAATGCAAGTCGATAAGGTAGTGAAGAAGACATATGGCATGCTTGCCTTCGTTGGTCAGGACATTGAGTGTAAAAGTTGGCAACTCACGTTGCACCTGTGTAAAACTTTAGTTAGGCCACATTTGGATATTGTGTTCAGTTCTCGTTGCCACACTACAGGAAAGATGTGCAGCCTTTGGACAGGCAGTGCAAAAGAGACTTACAAGAACGTTGCTGGATTGGAGTGCATTAGCTATAAGGAGAAGTTGGACAAATTTGGATTGTTTTCGCTATAGCATGGGAGGTTGAGGGCTGACCTATATACAGAAGTATATAAAATAATGATAGGCATGCATAGGGTGGAGAATCAGAATCTCTTTCCCTGGGTTGAAATGTCAAAATAATAAAGGGCATAGGTTTAAGGTGAGGGGTAAAAGTTTAAAGGAGATGTGCAAGGTAAGTTTTTTTTTGTACAAAGGTTGATAGGTGCCTGGAATGCTCTGCAAAGAGAGGTGTTTGAAGCAGTTCCAATAGCAACGTTTAAAAGGCATTTAGACAGATACATGAATAGGCAGAGGATAGAAGGATATGGGCAAGGTGTAGGCAAATGGGATTAGTTTAGAATGGCATCATGGTTGGTGCAGAAGTGGTGGGCTGAAGAGCCTGTACCTGTGCTGTACTCTTGCAGGGGGAAAAAAAATTGGTCAATAATAGGTTCAAGGCAGGATTTCCACTTTACTTGATCAGCAAGTGTCAGATTAGAAAATAGAGGGTGGCTACTGTCACACTTGGTTTAAGGAGGTGTCAGTCAGAGGTCTCCCTATGTAGTAATCTGGAAGGGAAAATGGGGATCAGGGGTGTTTGAGAGGACCGGGGAGAATGGGGGAGCTGGGATCTAACTTTAAGAGGCCCCACCAATACGACCAAGAACTTTCTCACCCGTCTACCAATAGCTCATGAAAACCTTCCAGGTTAGGTGCCTGATGTAGGCCTCTTCCTCCACTGGTTGAATCCCAGTAGTGGCAGGATGAGGTCATTAAGTGGACATTAATTGCCCACTTAAAGATCTCAATATGCTTTCTGGAAGGCATACTGCTTGACAGCTGTTGGTAAAATAATTATGGGGGTAGGAGTGAGTGGGTAGGCTGTGGACAGGATTTCACTTGCCCCCTGCTTCACCACCACTTGCAGCCCATCAATCGATGTCTATAGTTCTACAATTGAATGAAATCTAATTTGCAACACTGCATTCAATTTCAAGCTATATTTATTTTGCACCTTTAAAAATAGTAAACCATCATAACTCGCTTCACAGAAACACTATGAAACAAAGTTTGATACCAAGCCGGATGGCAGACATGAGAACAGATGACCAAAAGTTTGGTCAAAGAAGTGGGTTTTAAGGGACATCTTGTTGGAGGAAAGAGATTTGAATAAGTAGAGAAATTCTTGGGGTTACCTAGTCAGCTAAAATCATTGCCATAAGGTGTGCAACTATGCAAATTAAAACTGACCAAGAGACTAGAATTGGAAGAGCACAAAGATCTTGGAGCATTGTAGAATTGGAAGTGGTTAGAGATATGGGGAGGGGACAAGGTCACTGTGTAATTTGGAAACAAGGATAAGAATTTCAAAATCAAGGCATTGCTCAACTGACAGTCAATGTAGGTCAGCGAGCAAAGGGATGATGGATCAACAGGATGACAGTGAAATAAGAAATGTAATGAGGCACTAAAGCGCCATTGATACCTTGAGCGTGTGGTGCAACAATGATCTCACTTTCCACCAAATTCACAAACACATCGTAGATGTCTGGGCGATCAGTCACCTTTAAGTCTGTGAAACCAGCTACGTAGCCTGTGTGTTGAAGTGAAAACAATTCTTAGAACTGTTATTAAATACTTAAGATATTTACCCTCTATTATAGGGGAAAAGGCAATTGTATTTGCTAGCTGATGGCTAGATAGTTGGCAATTTGCAAGTAATTTATACGTCCTTGAATTAGACAAAGGAATTTTATTATCAAGTGATAAAGTTCCAATTGTAATTAGATATTGCAGGACTAGCACAGCAAAAACTGGTTTTCTTTGTAGATTTGAAAAGAAACAATATTCCTACCAGCGCAAGTCTTCAAGGCCTCTAGTTCATTTTGATTTAAATGCACATAGGGATGAAGTATTGACCAATCCTGCCTATGCCAAGCCAATGTTGGCAAGGTCCTGGAATACAAAGTAAAACAAATATCTGTCACACTTCTCTGTCACCATACCTTGAAATAACAATCTTTTATTTAAAGAACAGAGAACTAAAGCCAGTGATTTTGCTCTGTTCTTCATGCCTTCTCTACAAGCGCAAGAGTTAGGGATCTACAAGCAAAGGCCATTTTCTGCAGTATAACCTTCTAGAGGATGAGTTGTAGCACTATCACAAAAATCGAATAGACTGAAATGAGTTCAAGAAGACAGTTCATTACCACTTGCACAAACGTAACTAGGGACAAGCAATAAAAATGTATGCCCAATCAATAACACTCATGACATGAATGAATTTTTAAAATGTTTACATTTAGTGTGGCTCAGCATTTTCCGTTAAAATTGCAGGAAACGGTTCAGAGATAAAGCAATGGAAAGATCAATGTCTGGTTGTCATAGCAGGCAAAGTAGGAAGCTTAGGAGATGTGGAGTATATCATGCAAACACAGTGAAACACTACGTGCCACCCCATGTGTTGTTTTTACCTGGTAAACTCCTGCAATGCTTCTATGCGTGGGTGGTAGACCACAATCCTCTTCTTTAAAATAAGTGCAGTGTACAGGATAATGGTTTCCATTCCAAACTGATTTACTACATCTGGTTGAAAAAAATGCATTTCATTGGAGACAAAAATTTCCCAATTCGTTTCAGTTTAATACAACAATATCGCACAGTGCAAGATAAGGCTATCATTAAAAGTCAAAAAATCTTAGCCAGCCTGAAAAGAATCGTTTGATACCAATATGATTTTCACTTTGTGTTGAGTTCATAGTTCACTCTATAGTGCAGATAGAGGCCATATGGCCCATTGATTTTGCACCAACCCACCAAAAAACATTCCATCCAGACCCACAGCCCCACATTTCCCATAGCTAATCCACCTAACCTGCACATTCAGGGGCAGCTTAGCTTGGCCAGTCTACCTAACCTGCATGTCTTTGGACTGTGGGATGAAACTGGAGCACCCAGCAGAAACCCGCAAACTCCACACAGACAGTCACCACAGGCTGGAATTGAACCCAGGTCCGTTGCACTCAGGCAGCAGTGCTGACCACTGTGCCACCCAGTTATCTAGTTTCAGTGAAGGGTTGAGTTGAGGTACAAGTACTTCTCGGCACAGTTAACTATGCTCACAACTCATGATTGCTGTCCATTTTCACTGCTGAAATATTTGCATTTATGGAAGTCTAGTGTGGTCAGAACTGAGTTAGTCCACAATGTTCTCCAAGGTCATGTCACACTTTCTGTCTGAGCTGCTATATCAAGAATTGTAATTTTTAAAATATTCTTTCATGAAGATGTATGCAAAAGTGGAGGGTCATCATTTATTGCCTAACAGTCCTTGAAAAAGTGATGGTGAGCCATATTCTTGAATACAAGTGAGTAAAAATTTCAGAGAACAGTTACAAATCAATCACATTTCTGTGTGTGTCTGGTATACAGCAGACTGGGTAAGGGCAGCAAATTTCCTTTCTTAAAAGATATTGGTGAATCTGACAGCTTTTTAATACATTGTTCAATAATACTGATAGTTTTTTTTAAAATGTCCAAATTAATTGAATTTAAATTCCATAGCTGCCATTAATGGCATTTGAACTTGTGTTTCTGGATGGTTAATTCAGAATTAACCATTCTTAATCACTATGCTATAGAATCCCGAGGTGAACGTGAGTGTGAGAGGTACCAGAGGCCAGCTGATGTTCATCTACTTTCAAGAGAAGCTGTGTGCAAAAACAGATATTTAACAATGGAAAATAGGTCATCATTTGTAAAACAATTAAGTTAAAATGAAGTCAGTACAAGAAGTAACAACTGTGCTAATAAGATATAACAGTATGTTTGGAGTAGAGGTCCCATTATTTGTAATAATTATAAGCTACCATTTTTTGACACAATAGCTTACTATGTTGATTGTTTAAACATCTGCTTGGCAGGAAGTTGAACAGTACTGTATTTAACAGAAATGTTGAATTCAAAACAGATCGTACATTAATATCATCAGACCCGAAACGTTAACTTTGTTTTCTCTTCACAGATGCTACCAGACCTGTTGTTGTGTTTTTCCAACAATTTCTGTTTTTGTTTGTGCATTAATGTAAGTGACCATATTTACTCAAAAATAAATGTATTCCCATATAGTCCACATTCCTTGTGGCATAGGAACAAGTGGATGAAAGGAACAAACTCTTTCCCTCCCCAACTGTCCATTTAAGAATTGCATGTTGCCCAAGCCTCATGGTTACTGCAGTTTTCCAGGACAATGCACATGGCATATACCATAACCCAACAGAAAGAGCAGACTAGGACAGAGAGCATTATCTCTGGAAAGGATTGACATCAACTGAAATAACTCCACAAAGCCTGGTATCCTGACACTTAAGTTATCTTTATTTACACGTGGCGAGTCCATGATACTGTTCAGCTCTCAGCGTGAAGAGGAAGTTTGACTCTCCTTTTTATATCTGTCAGCCAGGGCTCTCTGATTGGACCCGATTAACCCCAATCAGGGAACTCATCCTCTATGAGGTCCACCTGGCTGACCTCATTACAATCACTACATCAACCACACTCAATACTTGGAAATGAGTCTTATATTAATATGATTATTCAAAGCATAACATTTTTTTGTGTTTACCTTTAATGGATCCAGCAAGATATGCTTTTCTTGCATCATAATCCTTCATAAGAAATGACCCATTCTCTTCATTTTGACAAATGCCATTAGTAAGAACAGAAATGTAACCTTCCATCATCCTGGCTGGATTACCATATTTCATGTACATCCTTCAGAAAAATTAAAATGTTTGGAGTTGATAATCACATTTATAAGAAAATATATGTTTGTTTTTAATAACTGGCATGCTATTGAAATTTATAGAAAAATTCTAATTATTCTCATCTGGAAAGATTTCTTTTTCAAGTGAGAATCACTTTTCAGAACTCAAAGGTTAATGTTTCTAAATTGCAAAGAGCAACACCATTTTCAGATTAAAGTTTCTGACTCTGAAATGGAGCTCTGTATCCTATATACTGCTTAGTTAAAATCCTGAAATTTCCTCTGCAACTGCAGAACAAGCACTTCAGCTGTTGAAGAACTCGATTCATCACCACCTTTTCAAGGGCATTTGGGGATAGGCAATATTACTGGTCTTGCCAATTTCACAAAAATCCCATGAATGAACACAAAATATCACCAGGCATGTGCAATTTGATTCCAAGTTGTATCAGTTATGTATTATTGATACAATTGCTCAATACTTTACACGATGTTCAGAAACCCACGATATCATTATGCTATAGTGCATAATATAGTGCGTAGAGAACAGAGTAAGTGACTATGTCGTTAAGCTATAATAAACTGCATTACAGGATAGCAGCACAAAAATGACTGTTAGATACTGTTGCCATATCATGGTATCAATCAGTATCAATTTGTCCATAACTGATGCAGGCTTGAAGCTAGGTAAAACTCCAATGGTGTATCGCATTAGGAACCACAGATCCAAAGTTATCAGTTCTCCCTAGGGGGTTACATCTAACACATAGCATGTTTCAAAATAGCATATTCTATATCACAAAACATTATTTAATTAAATAAATCTACTTAATTTGTATCTTAATGAACCAATACTATTTGCTTCCATTGTCTCTCTAGGAAGCGAAGCCTGCATATAGATGTACCACTTGTACACAGAAAATAATGGTCTGATAATTATGGGTTGCAGGAATGGTGTGAATGAGGCAGAAAGCAGTCAAAGAATTCAGTCCTGAAGAAGGGTAATACCCGAAATGTTGACTGCTCCTTTCCTCCAGATGTTGCCTGGACTGCTGTGTTCTTCCAGCCTCCTGTCTACCTTGGATTTTAGCATCTGCATTTTTTTTGTCTCTAACCAAAGAATTCAGCAAGGCCAGGAAGTTCTGCTCATTTGACCTCATCTATGTTTGTAGCTCTGTCTCCTGACCAGCAGTTCAGAAAACAGACAGTTGGCCACTAAGCCAGCAACTGCAACTGTCATTGAGTGCTTCAGTTCCTTTAAGCATCAAGAACCCCACCCCCTTCCTTGTGAGTTGCCAGTCAGAGGGCTGGCAACTCTTCGGTTCCAGCAGTCTCATGAGGAATGATATCCATTACTAACTGAAGTCAGTCCTGAATCGTGAAGATAATGGAGGCCCAAGGGGGTGAAGGGTGGTGTGGAGGCTCATTGAGACTTGGTATACAGGTCCTTGTATATTGTGGGAGGGAGGGGGGGCAGCTTATTGGTGAATGCAATGAGGGAAGATCTTACAGTAATTTTTTGCCTCTATAACCACTGGTTCCCAATCAGTAAAGGCCTTCTCACCCAAGCCCAAAAGGAGACTGCCATCTTTTACTTTGTGACCTACCTGTGTAGCATAAGGATACCTTCCACTTAAGAACCTCAATGGTGGACTTTTGGGCAGAACCACCCTCAATCTTATGTCCCTAACATAATCAGAGAATTCAAGAAAGAACAATATGCCCTGCTTTCTATCCTAATTCTATCTCTCCATCCTTCCCAGCTTGCTCCTAAGGGTGAAATTTGATTCCACCCAAGGAACACCAAGGCAGCTTTTTACTTCTCAAAGCCTGGAGCTCCTATCTCTGCTTTACTGCCGAGTTTCCTGACATTTGGGAAACCAGTTACTTAATTTCAAGTTGGGCTCCCAATTGCGTTCTAGGAGCTCAATATCTATATTAATAAGCATCTCACCTTATTATGCCAGAGGAGACAAATGCACCCAAATCTGTCAGAGTAAAACTAACAGCGATGCAAGCACAGCATGTTGGGAGTAAGGTTATGTGTCTTTCATTATGTAACCATTCTTCACCCCCTACCCATGATTTTCAGATGAAATCTTCTCCCAAGCCATTGTTGCTAGAGGGGATGTTAATATCGATTAGTTTTCAATGTATCCCCTTTCAAGGACCAACATATCCTGCCTAACTTATCTAATTCATCATTTTACCTTTCTTGTTATTAAGACTAATCAAGTTGACTGCCATACTTCCCACATTCCAACACTGAAACACTTATGAAAAGTTTGTTATGTGTAATGCTATTATTTAGGATGTCCTGAGGTTAAAAAGGTGCTATGTAAATGAACATTCTCTTCCTCATTTAAAAGTTGCTTAAATATTTTGTGATGAAGGGTCGAGGCCCGAAACACCAGCCTTTCTGCTCCTATGATGCTGCTTGGCCTGCTGTGTTCATCCAGCCCTGCACCTTGTTGTCTCTAAATATTTTGTGGGTTTTTTTGCATATAAACTGGTAAGTTGTAATTATTTTAGCTGTGAGCCCGTGACCATTTGAAATGTACTGGGCAAAATAGCACAAATGGTGGTGAAGTTGTAATGTTACCGGACTAGTAACCCAGAGGAGCCAAAACATGTTCCAATTGTAAAGTTAGTCTCAGTAATTATGACTGGGAAACTATCATCAATTGATTTAAAGACTTCTCTGCTTCACTAATATCCTTTAAGGAGAAAATTTACCATCCTTGCTGGGCCTGGCTTACATGTGGCTCCAGATCTGCAGTAATGTGCTTCACTCTTAGCTGCCTAGAATGCCTTTCAACTAAATGGCTATCAGGGATGGCAACACATGTTGGCATTGCCAGTGATGTCGATATCCCATGGAAGACATTACATGCAAAACATTCAACTAGATTCATAAATAGTTTGATGTAATGTGCAACATGTTTTCAGAATTTGTAACTCACCTACACAATACTCTCCCAAATGATGCATATTTCTCTGGGTTAAAGTCTTTGGCAGTTAGAACTAAAGAAAAATGGGTCACCTACGGTAAAAATGAAAAATAAGATATAACTAATATTTAATGCTCATCACGGTTACATTTAGTTGTATTTCAATTCTTAAGTTTTGTGCAAAATGAGAAATAGAGCTTAAGAATGCAATTTAATATGGCTATAATATATATTTCTCCATATTCATGCTGCCATATTATGTAGTATTGACATCACAGAATGAATGGTTTGTTGTGTTCATTAAAACGATTCACATCTTGGTTGTGATAGTTATCCTATTGATTTTAATTCCTTGACTCATCCTCTGAAAAGAAGGAACAAGTAACATTTCCATTGTCAAATCTTAATTCAAGGCCTTTCAGAATTAAAGTTGCTCTGATCAATACAAAAATATTAACCAAGCAGCTTTTCTTGTAAGTCACCAACATTTGTGCATGAGTGATATACACAGGTTAATTTTTCATTCAATATCATCAGTATCTACCATGTGCATTTTTACTGAAATACCAAATCTTATCCATCATTAAAAGCTGCAACACCACCAAGCTGTTTGACTTTTCCAAGGCTCTGCACTCCAGCTCTTGAACTCCACTCTTTATCCCAAAACCTGGCCACTATTAAACTTCTGGCTTTGTGAACCTCCTATATGTTCACTCAGTCTGACTATTTTCATGTTCTGTAGCAAAAGCTCAAACACACTAATTTCTGTATCTTTGTTCCTTTGAACAACAACATAGTCTATAATCCAGGATCGTGCAACATAGAGTTTGACTGACAGACAATTTTGTTAGTCATCCAGATTTGGTTCTGGTAAAACAGAAGGACACCACACATCACTGTTATAAGAATCACTCTGTCTTTCTGCAATACAAGACAGCCTTCAGAAGCAGCTTAGTAAAGATCTATTACCTAGTGTACCAAAGATTTTTTTTTTTAAATTTCCTTTCCAAAAATAAAAAGTTGCTGTTTATTTGCAAATGCACACACTTCACCTTTTCTCCTCTTTCATAACAAAAACAAAGGAGCTGCGAATGATCAACTCCTAAATTTTAATTAATAACTCCACAAAGGGGGCAATTTTGGGGCAAATTGTTGTTTTTGTCTATACTTCCAAACTCTAAATCAAAACTGTACTTGCAGTAAGGATGAAGATTTTTTTGTGTGTATCACATGTAAAAAAGATTAAACAGGTTTACAATGTATTGCATATTGTGTGCGAAAGAAATCCCTGATGTCTCTAGGTTGTTGAGAAGTCAACCTATTCAGAAGTCTCTAGTAAGTCCATTCTTCAACCAGATTCACCTATGGTTCTGGCTGGCTGACTCTTCCAACTTTAGTTTCTCCTGTAGCGAGCTCTACCTTTTGTGTATTTAATGTTACCCTGAGTGAGAATCTGGAAGCAGGTCAGCTTGTATGTAGCACATGGAGAATGAGATTGAGAGCTAGGAAGAAAAGAATGTCTGTCCTCCGATTAAAACAAATCCATAAAGTGCTGAGCTGGATGAACACAGCAGGCCGAGCAGAAAGGCTGGTGTTTCGGGCCTAGACCCTTCATCAGAAATGGGGGAGGGGAAGGGGGTTCTGAAATAAATAGGGAGAGAGGGGGAGGCGGATAGAAGAGAGGATAGGTGGAGAGGAAGCAGACAGGTCGAAGAGGTGGGGATGGAGCCAGTAAAGGTGAGTGTAGGTGGGGAGTTAGGGAGGGGATAGGTCAGTCCAGGGAGGACGGACAGGTCAAGGGGGCAGGATGAGGTTAGTAGGTAGGAGATAGGGGTGCGGCTTGAGGTGGGAGGAGGGGATAGGGGGGAGGAAGAACAGGTTAGGGAGGCGGGGACGAGCTGGACTGGTTTTGGGATGCGGTAGGGGGAGGGGAGATTTTGGAGCTTGTGAAATCCACATTGATACCATTGGGCTGTAGGGTTCCCAAGCGGAATATGAGTTGCTGTTCCTGCAACCTTCGGATGGCATTGTTGTGGCATTGCAGGAGGCCCAGGATGGACATGTCGTCTGAGGAATGGGAGGGGGAGTTGAAATGGTTCGCGACTGGGAGGTGCAGTTGTTTATTGCGAACCGAGCGTAGGTGTTCTGCAAAGCGGTCCCCGAGCCTCCGCTTGGTTTCCCCGATGTAGAGGAGGCCACAACGGGTACAGCGGATGCAATATACCACATTGGCAGATGTGCAGGTGAACGTCTGCTTGAAAGTCTTCTTGGGGCCTGGGATGGGGGTGAGGGAGGAGGTATGGGGGCAGGTGTAGCACTTCCTGCGGTTGCAGGGAAAAGTGCCAGGTGTGGTGGGGCTGGAGGGGAGTGTGGAGCAGACAAGGGAGTCACGGAGAGAGTGGTCCCTCCGGAAAGCAGATCAGGGTGGGGAAGGAAAGATGTCTTTGGTGGTGGGGTCGGATTGCAGATGGCGGAAGTG